GAAATATAGCGGCTGAGATTAAACCGAACCTCTGAGCACTCCCCGAGGTAGATGCGATAGAAAATGCAAAGGGATGCAACATCCCTACGCAGTGCCAGTCAATCGGGCGGATTAGAAAAACCTCGGACGTCGACAACTCAAACCGCTCTGCGCTGGATGCGGTCAAGTGGAAGAAGCTGACACAGGGCTGCCCCGGCCCAGAGATGAGAAGCCAAATTTGCGCTTTGTGCAAGTTGCAAGCGATGTGCCGACATGAAATAATGCCCCGCCCTGCTGAGCACGCCAAGCTTTATACAGGCCATTTAGACGTTCTCTTCCAAGTGACCACAAAATTGCACACTATTCGATATGTCGACACCGATGATTCCGATGCTAGCTGAGGCAGCAAAGGGAGTGCCTTGAAACTGAGGAGATACGACAAAGGGGTTCTTTTTAGCGGTAAACGTGCAAACTTGTGTCTTCTGGGAATTGAATTGGACTAGATTTAGCCACCCTCAATCTGAGACTTTGTTCAGCAAAAAATCGACTTCAGACACAAGTTTTTTCCGGTACTCAGAGACGTTTTCCCGATAAATATTGGCACGGCCGGTGTCTATTGCATCACCAGTGCTGTCGTCTTTACCAGTTTGCAACATATCATTGATATGCAGTAGAAACAGGGTTGGTGATAGCACGCAGCCTTGTGGAACACCAGTTTTAATAGGCTTGTAATCAGAGCATGCACCGTCTACTATGACCTTGATGCTCCGATCAGCAAGGAAACTGGTGATCCAAATGCACAATTTCTCGGGAAGTTTATAGAAAGGGAGTTTTGAAAGAAGCGCTTTGTGCCAGACACGACTGAAGTACTTCGCCATGACCAAACTAACGGCCAATACCTATTCCTTGGACTCTACTGCCTCCGCCCGTCTATGAAATAGATAGTCCAGAAGATCACCAGCTGATCCACCCCGACGAAAAGTGTTTATAATAAATTCCATTATTTTGGAGAATAAGGAGGTGATGGCGATATGCCTGTAGTTTGACGGGTCTGAGCGGTCGCCTTTTTTAGGGATCGGGTGAACCAAAGCTGTCTTACGTGAATTTGGGATAAAGCCTTAGGAGTAGAAGTACCGAAACAGATGCGTTAAAACCGGTGCCAACTTCGGAGCACACGTCTTCAGCACAATGGGTGGGACTCCATCAGGCCCACTCGACTTGTAGACGACCAGGGAGATGAATGCTTTGCGAACCGAGTGTTGTGTAAACCGCACATCTGGCATGGAGCACGCAAACCGCGGGATGATCGGTGGTGTGTTCTTCCGTCATCGAGAATCGAGTTGGACGCAAAAAAAATAGATTAACAGATCGGTTATCTCTTTTGCGGCGTGGTCTCAGTGAGTCGTCCTCTCTTTGCAGAGATGGCTGACAGAAGATCCCTTGGACAGCCTTGGCAAGAGACCAGAATGCACGGGTTACCGAAGAAGGCGAACTAGCCTCTCACCAACTCCGCCGATGTACTCTGACCTTGCCTTGGCAATGAATTTTGAAGAACCTGGAGGCGGAATTATACTTCTTTTGAAGAGAGCTGGTGTTTACATCCCGAGACATCAACGTCTTGGGATGTAAAGATGTCGTCAGCCCAGGCCTGGTGGCACTCCTGTTTATAGTGTGGTGCTATTTCACATGAGCCACCAAACCATGACCGGAATCTGCCTCCGATGGGCATCACAGAAGATGAAATAAAAAGTTCCATATTCTGAAGTACCATATCAGTGACAGAATCAGCAACATTGCTGGGATTGTCCGGCGAGAAGCAAATCCGCCCTCAAGGGTAGAATGCAAAAAAAGACCGCATCCTTTCCCAATCGGCCGACCTATAGTGCCAAACACGGCGGCAGCCTGCAGAATGCAACCGCGACGACTGTGTGAGTGACACCATCCTCCTGACAAAACAATGGCCCTAGGAGCCATGAGGGATGCCGGCGGAAACCTGATATCCTTCCGGATAAGAGGTCAGCAGAAGTTCTAACAGGGAAGGTTCATGATCCTCCACATCTGTAATCTGCGTAGGCAAAGTAACCAGCTGTGTAAGACCATATGCCAAGGCAAAGTCATAAACAAATCTCCCCACATGATCGGTTAAATGTGAACCGAGCCATTCGGCATCATGAAAAGGATCACAATGTCTGCGTGTACCCCCCCTCCCCCCCCCCCCCCTAGAATACCGGAATACGCGGGTCAGCTTAAGCACACACACAGGAACAGTAGGGTAGCTGATTCTCCGTCACCAGGATGCTGGTACCCTCCTAGGGTAGTTTTTATTTGATTCCGCTACCATACTTAAGGGGGGGGGGGGATTGGGCCTCCGACTACCTATTGGTATTCTTTGAGGTTGTGGTACTACCCTGGTTCGAGCTGGCGTATCCATGCGACGGCAAGCAGCCGCGTGGCTCTATCACTGTTATAACGTAAACATGGAGTAAGTTCTATTTACTTTTTTTCTGCCCACCATAAATAAACGAATGATACACAAGAATACATTATTTTCTTCGTTATAAGACTAGTCCAGTCTTAACGAATAAACCAAACACAATAACTGCCTTTCTTTATTCAAAACTTCTCTAATACTTTCATGTTTTTCGTAAACGCCAAACTCCCACTAGACACCCTGATCGCGACTGAAAAAACGTATAGCTTAAAGGCAGATAATTGATGATAAGTATGCCCGCATGCGGCTATGCCGCATAAACATCTCACAACGTGAATCTACTTGTCCTATTGATAACTGCCTTTACGTTTTACGGAATTAACCGGTTAATTTGGGTGTCAAAACCATTAAGTAACCGATAACCTTTATCGTTTAGGTTTAATAAAAACCGGTTAATTTTTTAACCGGTAATTGAAGGAGCGATAAATTAACAGGTAATTAATCGAAATTAACCGGTTCCGAGCCCTGGTTCTAGGTAATTCAACAGTACAACCACTAGTATTACAAGATAAAAAGGAAAATTTAATTGTTTAAATAAAATAAGATACTTGTATTATCACAATCTTCTTTAGTTCATGGGCATAATTTGTAACTACTGAACTTGTACTCAATAAACGCTGACATTGGCGAATAATCCAAAACCGCCATAAAAAAAGAAAGAAGAAGAAAAAGAACTCAAATATTGTTTTAAATTGTAAAAACACATAATTGTCAATTTGATTATTAATCATTGTTATTAAATTACCTAAGTAATCAATAAAAAGATATTGTTTGGTTTTGGTGAAATATTGACCAATCAAATCGTCGACCAGTCAGAGCGCTTCTAGGTTCTTATTATGGCTTCTTAAATAAATGAACGCGAGAAATACGGTCGCTTAAGTTTCTGCGCTCGTCGGTGTAGGTTCCATTTTCCTTATAAAAACTGTGTGACAATTTTAGTGAGTTTATATTAAGAAGTGTGGAATAAAATTATAAAGTATGTGATAAGACCTTTTGGTTATAATGGAGCCAATACGTGGCAGCACAGCTGAGCCCTTGTCAATTGGGGACAGTGGTGCTGCTTCACCAAAAAACAATCCCGAGATTTCCGCCCCGATATACTCGTATATATGTATGTATATATGTATAATAGGTATTAAAAGTTAACGGACACAGGTGGCTCTGGACCATTTTTGTAGCATTTTTGGGGAAAGTCTATATTTAATAATGAATTTATAATGCGCCGTAATGACAGTGTATCTCTGTAACTCTTTTATGTAATTGCCTAACATGTAATCACAAGTCTTCTCCGCACTATTTGTTTTTCTTTGTATAAAATTGAAGTGATGATATCTATATCTATTCTCGATTAAGAATCAAAATGCAGATTTTCTAGTAAAAAGGGTCTCCGGTTCTCTACACTCACCATACAAAACATAGCAGCATTGAGCTGCTATTTTACGTTGGTATTCTGTGAGAGTGTTGTCCTTCCCCAGTCAAGTCGACCCATTTGTGCTACAGTCATAATGTAGCTACAGCAAGGCTCTACCACGTTCAATAGTAGTTTTATTAAGTATGTTACTTTTAATATACTAATCATATTAAAATTCAATTGCATTATTATCAACAACATACAACGAATATTACGGACAACAATGTAAAGTAAGCCGATAAAACTGTTCACTTGCGAGTCGTTAAACTTTATGAGCCACTTCTCTCTCGCACGGCTGATCGCGAGTTGGGGAACATGAGGAATAAAATTCTTCGTAGATTATGTTTACCTTTTAATTTCTTTCCTTGTATATTTGGTACAACTCGTGTTAACTTACGAGTAGGTGTACAGTTCATGTTAATGAAAATTCTGTAACCTAAAGACCTAAATAAGTTTATTACAACAGAGAATTCCAATTTTAATCTCGGTTATACATTAGGTTAGCGTTAATTGTTAAAAATAATAAAAGTATGAGAGCGGATGTTGAACTTGCTCTCCTGCTTACGCAAATGATCATTATCGGTAATAAGACAACGTAACGCACTAAACCTTCAGTATAGAGAGTTTTACCATAAAATAAAACTTACCTATTATTTTTTAATCAAAATCCGGAATCCATCTTGAGTCAAGCACTAGTCTTTCCGCCTAAAGTCAGCACTTCCGGCTACCTTACCTGCCTGGAGGGGGCACCTCACCACTGTTGTTGCTTTGTTATTTAAGCAGTGATGAGCACCAGGTCTCGTCATTATGACACTCATAATATTGATTAAAAAATAATAGGTAAGTTTTATTTTATGGTAAAACTCTCTATTATTTGTTATGTATCAATATCCGGAATCCATCTTGAGTGACGTGTTTGTTATCACCTGATGCTAATAATTTGTTATAGTTATTAACGCTATAATGTGTAAGGTAAACAATAAAAGAATGATTGCAAGAGATATACAGCAAACAAAAATTATATATTATACCACAATTACATTATTTGATTATAAATGACAATATTTTTGCTTTTATCAATTACAATAATAAATACAACGAATATATTTGCTCTATCAATCAATTAATGGCATCAAAATAATTTGATAAAGATACAGAATTATTTATGTCAAATTCCTTTAGTTCTTTTTTATAGTAATTTTTAAAAGTATGTACAGTTTTCCAATTACCAGTCTCAAGGATTTTATCTAGAGAAAAATTTTCTAACCAATTTAAGGAAGATACTGCTGATCTTACTGAACCAGGAGTAGCTTCAATACCCACCTCTCTCAGAAGCGATTTTACCCACCCAGCAATTACAGTACGGGATGCTGGCTTAGCGTCACCTCTAGCTGTAATAAATAAATGATTTATAGCCTTTCTGCGATTTTTAGATATCTTTAGTAACTGTCTTATCCAGTAAATATTATTCAAATTTTTGTCAGGATGTTCTTTAAGCCTCCAACCAGACTGTCTATGATTAATGCTGTCCGTTTTGGAACCAAAAGCTGGCCATAAGATTATGCTACTTTGGTCGTCTATTAAACTGTTATTGTCAATATGTAACAAAGTGAGGTCATGAACTCTCCGACTAGAAGCCAAAAGTAATAATGTAGCAGTATGCCTAGATACTTCATACAGATTGTTTTCATTTGGATTATATTTACTTATATACTGCATAAGAAATTTAGGATTCCAAATTGGTGGCTTTACTGGTCTGGTACGGGCCATAGATATTGCTTTTAACATATGTTTTATAAAGAAATTTGAAGATAAATCTACTTTTGAAGTTAAGTGAGTGAATGTTGAAATCACAGATTTATGTACTAAAATTGTTCTGTAAGCAAGACCTATCATCATCATCATCATTACAGCCCTTCACAAGTCCACTGCTGAACATAGGCCTCCCCCAAAGAATGCCACAAAACACGGTCCTGAGCCACCTGCATCCATCGACTTCCTGCATGTCTTACCAGGTCGTCACTCCATCTCGTGGGGGGACGCCCTACACTTCGCCTACCGGTACGAGGCTGCCACTCGAGAACCTTTCTTCCCCATCGGTTGTCGGTTCTTCGAGCTATATGGCCGGCCCACTGCCACTTCAGCTTACTAATCCGTTGGGCTATGTCGGTCACTCTGGTTCTACTGCGGATATCCTCATTCCTAAGTTTATCACGCAGAGAAACTCCGAGCATAGCCCTCTCCATAGCTCGTTGAGCGACATTGAGCTTCCTCATACGGCCAGCAGTGAAGGACCACGTCTCAGTTCCGTATGTCATCACTGGCAACACGCACTGGTTGTACAATTTCGTTTTAAGGTTTTGAGGTATGTCTGACGAGAAGATGTGTCGTAGCTTCCCGAACGCTGCCCAGCCGAGTTGAATCCGTCGATTGACCTCTCGGTCGAAGTTGGACTTACCCAGTCGGACTATTTGTCCCAGGTAAACATACTCGTCAACAACTTCGAGCTTAGTGTTCCCAACAACTACCGGCATAGGTGTAACATGGACATTAAACATGATCTTAGTTTTGTCCATGTTCATCTTAAGACCTATCCGTTGGGAAACACTATTGAGGTCATTGAGCATAGTGCTTAGGTCCTCCAGCGATTCTGCCATAAGGACTATATCGTCGGCAAATCGAAGGTGAGTGATGTACTCGCCATTGATGTTGATACCGTATCCTTTCCAGTCCAGAAGCTTGAAAACGTCTTCCAATGCAGCGGCGAAGAGTTTCGGGGATATGACGTCACCCTGTCTTACACCTCTCTGCAATTGGATAGGTTTCGTACTCTGGTTCTGTACTCGGATAGCCATCGTAGCCCTACTGTACAAGCACTTCAACACTTCGATATACCGACAGTCAACTTGGCACCGCTGAAGGGACTGCAGCACCGCCCAAATTTCGACGGAATCAAAGGCTTTCTCATAGTCCACATACGCCAGACATAGTGGCAAATTGTACTCTTCGGACTTCTGTACAACTTGCCGAAGGGTATGTATGTGGTCTATGGTGCTAAAGCCCTTTCGGAAACCGGCTTGTTCGGGAGGCTGGAAGTCGTCAAGTCTGCGCGCGAGACGATTCGTAATGACTCTCGAAAACAGCACGTAGACGCGGCTCAGAAGGGAAATCGGTCTGTAGTTCTTCAAGAGAGCGTTGTCACCTTTCTTGAAGAACAAGACCACCGCACTTCTGCTCCACGCCTCCGGTGTAATGCCACCATGGAGGACGGAATTAAAGAGCTTCTGAAGGACTTCAAGTACCGGTCTTCCACCCGCTTTCAGAAGCTCCGCTGTAATTCCATCCTCGCCTGGGGCCTTACCGTTTTTAAGGTGCTGGAGAGCCATTCTAATCTCGCTCAGACTGACATCCGGGATATCTTCGGAATAGTGTCGGATGAGACTCGCTCTTGGATCGTTACTCACACTTGCGTGTGGCTCCAACGATGATGTGTACAGCTGCCCATAGAACCTCTCAATCTCACTCAAAATCTCAGGTGTCCCGGAAACGATGCTGCCACATTCTGTCTTCAGCTTTGACAGTTGGCTCTTTCTGGCAGACAGATCTCTGGCAAAGACTTTGGAGCCTTGGTTCCGCTCGATCGCTTCTTCAATACGAGCTGTATTGAAGTTGCGTAAGTCCCGCCGCATGCATTTGGAGATCTGTCTGTTCAGATGCCTGTATGCTGTCAAGTCTGTTGAAGAATGTAGCTTCATCTCCCGTCTAACAGCCATGAGATTAAGAGTGTGATCGGAGAGTTTTTGTGTTCTTCTGCGGCGGGTCTTGCAGAACTTAGCTCCAACCGCATGGACAGTTTCCACGAGCTTGTCATTCATATCGTCCACTTCATTGCAGTCTTCCAGGCACTGAAAACGGTTTTGTAACTCGAGCTGAAAGGTTTCGGGACTTTGGAACAGAGCACGAGGGGGACGGAGCGTTGACTTCATTAGACGAGACCTCTCCAACTTAACGTTTAGGTTCAGTGTGCCTCTAACCATTCGGTGATCGCTACCAGTTTTCACCCTCGCGATCACGTAGCAAGACCTATATCACAATGTAAATGTGCCAGATAACGGGCTACTTGTTCTGGGTGAGGATATTTATAATTAACCGAATTAAACTCGCACCATTTTTTCCATCTGTTCCATGCAGGTTTATATGTGTTGATCGTAGAGCCTCGCCAACTTGATATTAACAATTTCTGTTCTTTATCTGTCCATTCTGTTAACACATCTTGCCACCCAAAATCAACCATGCTTCCAAGAGCAAGTCTTGAATCTGTGGAGGGTGTATGCCTGTTCTCGTGTCTACTAGAGTGTGGACTAGATCTGGAATCCGATAAGGGGGGTGCAGAGCTCGGCGTTGAACATCTGCTTGCCAAAAAACCTTGTTCCATTTTGGGGCAATTAATATATATAGTCCGCTGGCTTGATTCAAATGGTTTAGGACTCTGGGAATAAGATTGGGTGGTGGGAATAACCATGCTAGTTTGTAGTGCCACTGGTGAAAAAACGCGTTGTGGTGTTGTGCTTGCTTGTCCTGAATGTTCACTGAAACATACTTCGGGGTCACGTGAGCAGTACTCGACGCAAATAGGTCTATCTCCGGCGTGCCCCACATTCGAAATATTTTGGATGTCGCCGCTGTTGTTAGGTGCCACTCGGGGCAAGTCCTTTGGCGTGATAAGGCGTCCACTTCGACATTGAATCTGCCTGGGAAGTACTGGGCCTGAAGGTGTATATTGAATTTGTCTAGAAGTGCAAGTAGTTGTAGAGTTTGCTCGAGAAGCTTTTTGGACTTGCTTCCGCCTTCCTTGTTTATGTAAGACACCACTGTTCGATTGTCCGTCTGAAGAAGCACTTGTGAGTTCTGTAGCAGTTTTTGTACGTGTGATATCGCTGCCTGAACTGCGAACATTTCTTTTCTGTTTGCGTGCCAGGTTAGTTGCCGTTTCGTCCAGGTCCCTCCGATACTTATATCGCCGAGTTGCGCGCCCCAGCCGATGTCTGAAGCATCGGTTGTTAGAAGGTGAGTTAGTACTACATTCGTGTGTATCGGTACAGATTGACCTACAGCTTGTAGCCACCATTCCATCTCCGACTGAACTGGTAGTGGAATACTCACTTGGCGGTAAGGGTGGTCCTTTGACAACTGTCGACTGAAGTATTGCAGTGTTCGACAGTGAAGCCGACCTCTCCGGGTTACGTAAGTGGCAAAATTGAGTCTCCCCATTAAGATCTGATACTCTTTGAGGGACCACTTGCGTTTTAAGAGCTGTTGCTGAAGTGCGTTGCGTAGCGTTAAGCACTTTTTCTCCGATAAGGACATTGCATTGAGTTTTGTGTCCCATGTTATGCCGAGAAACTCGAGGCACTGTGTCGGAGTCAGCACGGACTTTTCGAAATTTATTGTCCAACCCAGTAACTGCATGATCTTTATCGTTAAAGATATATCTTCTTGTAGTTGTTGCATCGACTGGCTTGCCAATAGAAAATCGTCCAAATAAACTACACATCTGATGCCCCGATTCCTGAGAAACTCTGCTACCCAGTTTGTTATTGAGGCAAACGTTCTCGGCGCAGAGGAAAGGCCAAACGGTAAACAGGTCATCTGAAGCAGTTGGTGCTGGTTTGAATTGATGGGATAATTCAGCCTCAAATATCTTCGATGACGCCGAGGAATCGGAACGTGAAAGTAGGTTTGGCTTAAGTCTAATTTTGCCATCCAATCCTGATGCTGCAGAAAGGTGGGTACTCGAAAGTGACTGAACAGTCTGAAGGGTTTCGTTTTGACGAACCTGTTCAGTTGTTTCAAATTCAATAATGGACGGCAGCTGCCGTCTGGTTTTGGCACCAAAAAGAATGTGGAAAGGAAGCTGGCACTCGGCTCCGCCTGTTCGAGTACTCCAGACTTTAACATACTTTGAATTTGGCGAGTCATATTTAAGGAAGTTTTGGTCCTGTAACTCTGAATCACAATTGGATTTGGAAGTATTAGAGGTGGCTTGAGTTTGAATGGGATGTATGAGCCGTTTAATAGTCTGCATATTTGTTCTGGCGCGCCTAAATTGCTACAAACACATTGAAATTGTTTTAGACAGCCGCCATGAAATTTTTGAGAGTCATTTACGACGATCATCTTTAAAGGAAAAATGCGATTGCGATTTCTTTCCTCTTTGTCTATTTTTGCCCGATTTATCTCGATTTGTTTGGTTGGATAGGCGGGGTGCTCATTTTCCTCTTTTAGAGGGATTGTTTCGATGAAAAAATTTATCATCAGCTTGTTTACTAGTCGATGGCTTTTGATTTTCATAAAATTCTTTTTGAGTACGAGGCATTGATCGGGATGAAGTGATTAATTTATCTGCCCCTCCAATTTTCTGAAAGTAGGTCTGTATGGAATCGTCGTTAAACAGAGTTTCTACGTTAGGAGGGATTTTTTGCAAAACCTCGCGATGATATTCTTCAGGAATTTGTCGAAGTAATGAACCACGGCGTAAGCTAATTAGATCCGCCCGTCTACCACAAACTATTTGAAAAAAAAATCTTCAGTTACTTTGCTATATGATGATTCTTTAGAAAATAACTCTCCTATTTTATCAAATAATAAATTTGGAGTCAATGTTTGTCGAGAATCACTAGCCCAATCTACTAGTGCTTGTAATGCTCTTTGTTATTCCTCTTTTTGGCAAAGTAAGGAGTTGGTTAATCCGGCGAAAGAACGTTCTAGCAAATAAGATCGAGGATCATCGCGCAACATTGCAGTTTCAAATCGTTTTAACGAATCATTTACAGCAAGTTCGACAAAACCGGGGGTAGATAAATGTTTCTTCTGGGCATCGATAAACCGTACAGCATACCAATCATCACAATTAAAACGCTGTAATTCTACTAATTTCTTTAAATGTATTTAATTTGCACGTGGATAAACGGGATCTTTTACCTTGGTACTCAAATCTGATAGCTTGAGCTGGTTTATTTTGTCCCCGCCTTCTGTTGTAGGTCGGTGCAAGTTAAGATTAAGTGAAGGGACTATTTTTTGGTTTTGGCATGTAACTTCACTAGATTTTGTAATAATATTAGTTAAAAAGGCCACTTGCTGGGATAAAAATTCTAAATGTTCTTTACTCACGGTTCGATCCATTCTCCTTTTCTTGTGTCTCCTTGTTTGACTGTAAACACTGCTTTTTGACGAATCACTGCTATCCGAACTCGACGATGAAGTACGCGCACGTTTCTGAGAATTTAATAATGTAACTTCGTCGACACTTTGTTCCTCCATAATTTTTTCAGTAGGGTAGCTATTTTTAATTTTAGAAAAAAAAATTTAAACTTTTTGTGTTTACGAAAGGCTGACTTGTGAATGGCGCGAAAAACAACGCTATAATGACAAGACCTGGTGCTCATCACTGCTTAAATAACAAAGCAACAACAGTGGTGAGATGCCCCCTCCAGGCAGGTAAGGTAGCCGGAAGTGCTGACTTTAGGCGGAAAGACTAGTGCTTGACTCAAGATGGATTCCGGATATTGATACATAACAAATAATAGTGAAATTACCGTTCGACCACACCGTAACACGTCTCCGCCACAATCACACACCAGTGTAACGTAAGGTACGTAATTACATAACACTAAATATGTAAACCAACAGCAACACTACTTATCTCTAATGTAACACAGGGCAGCCTCTCAGCAACACTAATCCTCCTTGCCTGCACTAGAAGAATTACAACAATGAACAGGACCACGACACTATCTTAGTACTGGTAGAATGACCACACTCGTAGATTGACTTGAGCGGAATCTCCTGCGCACGGCACCTATAGTGAACTTTATACTGCGCAAACTTTTTTTTTGCGCGTAGAAGCAATTGGAAAAAGGCTACCCATTACGTAGGGAGGCGGAAAATGCATTATGCATACCACGACAGCTGGTCTGTCCTGGTTATGTGGGACTCACTGCCTACGAGGGACCTAAGTGGTACCTGCTAAAACCGCCTTTGGGGACTGAGAATTGGCCGATTAAGCCACTTCGTCGGATCGGACGCGACTCTCTCTTGGGAGAAGAGGGCTCAGGCGGCTACAGAGAGCCGCTGAGGAAGAGCCTACTAAGGCAAATTAATTATGAAAATTTATTATGAGTTGGCCTGAGCCGCCAGGAGGCAGTTCAGGTCGTTTAAAAGTTTATTAGGCGGGTCCGAGAGAGAGTTTCTCGGCCTGCGGACTCGATAGGGAGAGGGGGGTGGGGCTGCATAATTAGCTGCCTCACGAATAAGATGATTGAAGTGCGACTCTGAGGCTTTGAAGAAGTTCTCAGAGAGTTTTTTAAGAAATTGTTGAATTGTAGGGAGCTCTAGGTCCCGATGAAGGTCGGCATTACGGACGTACCAAGGTGCGTTGGCAGCTCGACGACAGAAAAGGTTTTAAACTATTTGGAGTTCATTAATAATTTTAGTGGTAGTGGGCAAAAATGGACCAGTCATGTCCCGCGTAGGATATGACTGGTCGTATACAGACCTTATAAAGGGTACGCTTGTTTCTGAGGGACATTTTACTATGTTGAGCCTACTCAGGTAAAAACGTGTGCGACGGGTTACTATTTTGACGTGGGGCCTGAAAGTGAGCCTTGTGTCTAGAGTGACACCTAAATATTTGGCAGACGTATGCCAGGGGACAGGGGTCCCTAGCATACGTATTGGTGGAGTGTTTTTGAAACGGCATCGTTTATAATCGAAGTGAACGGCGGAGCTCTTCTCCGGGTTCACATCGATGCGCCATTTTTTGAACTAAGCTCCTAGGTCATCAACTGACTTTTGGACCTTGTTCCGTATGAAAGGTAGCGAGACACCTTTACAGTAGAGAGTAGTGTCGTCTGCGAAGAGAGAGAGCTGAACACCTTTTGACGGGATGGGAATGTCGTTGGTGATCAGGATGTACAGTAGAGGAGCAAGTACTCAGCCCTGAGGGACACCAGCTTTGATGGGGTGCTGTGAAGATAGCGTGCCTTCGTGTCTGAAACGAAGGTACGATGCTTTAGATAAGAGGCCACGAGACGTACCAGACGATCGGAGAGACCTATTTTGTATAGTTTGCAGATAAGGCCTGTATGCCAGACTCTATCAAAGGCTTTAGCTATGTCAAAAAAGACCGCGATGGTCTTATGACGACGAGGATAAAAACCGCTGAGGATATATTCCACAATACGGTGAACTTGTTGGGGACAGGAGTGTTTTGCTCGGAAACCGAATTGATGGGGAATGATAAGAGGGTTACCGTCTGTGGGAAACAGATGGCGCCTCATGCGATTTTGAATGACTCTTTCAAAGAGCTTGCCTGTGGCCTTGAGGAGGCTAATGGGGCGATGACTGGAGGGGAGGTTGTGAGGCTTGCCTGGCTTGGGAATACCAATCACAGTTGCCTCTTTCCACGTAGTGGGAAAGTAACTAAGGTTGAAGCAGGCGTTGAAGATAATAGTTAAAAGGGTTAACACCTGCTCAGGAAAGTGTTTAAGGGCTAGTTGGAGATGCCATACGCGCCCGGGGCCTTTTCTGGCTTAAGTCCTTTGATGAGGGATGAAATCTCATCATTGGACACAGAGATAAGTTCGGAGGCTGTAGGGGGTGAGTTCCGGCGGCGGACCTTATTCACCACTGCCTGGACGTGTGAAGGGTCGGCGGGTTGAGAGCTAGGAGAGCATTGAGCGGCAATGCTGTCTGCAAAGCACTCAGCCATTTCCTCGTCCTCGAAGGCTACCGTACCGTCGGGACAGGAGAGAGGGGGAGTGTGATAGCGTCTATGCGGAGGGCTCTTGCCATCCGATAGTACGCTGTATGAGAGGGAGAGATATTCTCCATGAGTTTACTCTTTTCGAGGTCTCGAAATTCAGAGAGGCGGAAACGGAGTTCTCGTTGAAGACGATTGGCCATGCGCCTATATTCGGGCGTGGGATATTTTGCTGCTCTCCGGAAAGCAGCTTTCTTGGCTTTTAATAGGTTGCTAATATGTAGGGGAAGGCCACTATTATTAGCAACCAGGACTACCCTTTCATTCTCCTTAAGGGAGGTTTTAATAAGGGTGGAGAGTGAATCGACCGCGGTGTCGATTTTTTCGGGACTGTCTAAGTCCGACCATAGGGAGATGGGAGAGTCCTGTGAGTCCAGAGCTTTCGCTAGGGACTCCTTGAAGCCCTTCCAATTTGTGAAGGTTTTAGTAGAGGGTACTGAGGGGGTCGGCTGATGGCCAAGAATGAAGGAAACCGGTCGGTGGTCGGATCCTAGATCGTCTAGTGTCTCGATTGCTCTGAGGTTGAGAGAAACACTTTTGAATAGTGCAAAATCTAGCACGTCGGGAGCGTAGTCGGTGACATCGGGATAGTGAGTAGCACCGAAAGGACTGTGAACGGTAAGGTCAAGAGACTGCGTGATATCAAGCAGTATCCTGCCACTACGGGAGGTAGTTTGGCATGTCCATTCAGTATGCTTGGAGTTAAAATCACCAAACATAATGACTGGGTTACCTAAAGATAAAATAGCCTCAAATATCTCTTTATAGGGGAAGGGTTCCAGAAGGGATGTAACAGGAGGCTATGAGAAATGACTAATGTCCAGTCATAGCTAGCCTGCATACCGTGGCTTCCATATTGGTAAGCTGCGGAGTAGAAATGGGAGAGCAGTGGAGTGTCTTCTTGTAATAAATCGGCGGTCGTGCCTGTCATTACGAAGAAGAGAAATTTTTTTAAGAGAAAGGCCTTTAGTGTCTTTAGTTTCGAGATTAGTTTCCTGTAGGAGTAGGAAATCGGTTTCACGATTTCGAAGAAAGAGCTTAAGCTCTGGGAGGTTATTTCGCAAACCGCGAATGTTAAGGGATACAAGCGATAAACCCTTAGGTTTGATACGACCGCGAGACTTTGGTAGAGCAAACTGCTCTGTCATTGTGAGTTAAGTTAATTATGATGCTCAGCAAGAGCGAGGAGACGGTCCTGAGGGGACCTCGCAGCGCGCAATTTGCGTGCTAACTTAGCGATTTCCCCAACGTTGATGTTCCTAATAGCGGAATACACCGTTTTTAGGTCATCAGCCATTGAGGGCTGTGATTGTTGTGGGGCGGAGGATGTCCGCGGTGGTTCTGCCTTTTTGGGGCCCCAGGGAAAGACTGGAGGCTGCATAGGCTGAGGAGGAGGGGGCCGAAAAGGTCCCTGAGGGGGCCTAGGGGGGCCCTGAGAGGGCCGAGAGAAACCCTGTATGGGCTGAGAAAGGCCCTGACGGGGCATCCGTTGGTAAAGAGCCGGGAATGAGCGGTCATTGACCGGCGGTGGAGCTTTCCTACTGGGGCGAGGATGACGTGCGCAAGGGCAGCCTCTGTAGTTTACCGGGTGGCCTGTTTGTTTACACAGGACACACGCGGGTGGGGATTCGGCGTCTTTGTGCCGAGGACACTCTTTAGTGTTGTGGGGTTCAAGGCACCTAACGCACCTGGGTGGGGCGGAGCAGTTGGCCGCCGCATGACCATACAGCTGGCAGCGGTGGCACTGCGCTGGGAACCCGCACCTATGTGGAGACTCAACCCTCACTCTCGACAGGCCGCATACTGTGCGTACCTGCCGGAAGATAGCTTTCGCCTCCGGCACGTTGGTTAAAATTACTAGGGCAAGAGAGAACATCTGGCCCGTTCTACTGTGCATTTTGTGCACGGCTTCTACGGGGAAACCTTGGGACTTAAGGTCCTCAAAGATTTCCTCGTTGAAAAATTCGAATGGGACGCCGCGGATGACGGCCCTGACTTTACGCTCTTCCGGAAGAGCGTATGTATGGTAAGATACTCGTTCGGCTGTAAATAGCCTGGTGAGACGACGGAAGTCATCGATTGAATTGGGGATAATGTTAATAGCCTCCCCGAGGTTTATAGCGTGGTCACACTTAATTCCTGCGTTGTAGCAGGTTTTGGATAGTTCAGTGAATTTTGCCTTGTCTCTTAAGAAGACAGGGGGTGGGACTTGCTTCTTAGCAAGTGTAGGGGCACAGTGGGAAGCTGGTTTAGAAGGTGGGGCGATGTCCAAAGACATTAGGGGAGCCTTAGCAGCGGTGGGGGCTGCGGGGGCAGAGACGGCAGCGGGAGCTGCGGGGTTTGAGGCAGCGGCGAGGGCTGCGTAGGTTGAAGGAGCGGCAGGGGCTGCTGTGACAGGGGGGGTGCGGTTTTTCGCGGCGCGTTTACCGCTGCGTTTTGACGTCACCGTAGTGAACGACGAATCACCGGTTCTGTTGGAGTCAGAGGACTCCAATGAACC